CATCGATTCTGGGAAGCGGATATTTATTCTTGATAGTTAACCGGTTAAGATCCCGGTAATCAATACACATGCGCATAGATCCGTCCTTCTTCTTGACAAAGAGAACGGGTGCTCCCCAAGGTGAAACACTCGACCGAATGAAACCGAGTTTAAGTAATTCTTGAATTTGAGTCTTTAACTCCTGTAACTCCTTCGGTGCCATGCGATATGGTGCTTTGGACACAGGACCGGTCCCTGGAATAAGATCAATAGAGAATTCTACCTGCCGGTTAGGTGGTCCTCCTGGAAGTTGGTCTGGAAACACGTCCACGAACTCACGAACAATAGGAACATCGTGAGGTGTCCGTGCTTTCGGTTCATCGCTGACAATACTTACAAGATAACCCTGGCAATCATTACGCCGCAACATCTTTCTGGCTTTCGCCATAGAAATAATATGTGGTAAGGCACGAGTCTTGGAGCCATAAAAAGTAATAGAATCATCTCCCGGAAGATAAAGAGTAATCTCCCGGTCGTGACATCGAATATCTGCATGAAAATGTGTTAACCAATCCATGCCGAGAATGAGGTCTAAATCCCTCATCTCGAGAACATAAGCTTCGGTAGGCAAGATATGTCCACCGACAGAAAGGCTAAGATCGGTTGCTTTAGCATCAATTACCATCTTTCTTCCCGAGGCTAGACTCACCTCGAGATGATCGACAGCAGAAATAGTATGAACCCCAATGGCGTCAAGACATCGCCGTGAAATGAAAGAGTGTGTTGCACCGGTATCGAATAAAGCGAAAACAGGAACATCATTAAGTATAATCATCCCAGACATGGTACCTGGGTGTTTAGCTGCTTCCGCTTGATCGACTGCATACACACGTGCTGGCTGTCTCCCGCGTTGCTGTTGCTGGGGCTGTCTCGGTGGCTGCTGTTTGGGCTGCTGAGGTTGTTCAGGTTGTTGTTGTTGTTGCAATCGTGGACAATTCGGTCGGATATGACCAGGCTGTCGGCAATAGTAGCAAGTGTTCTGGCCCCATCAAGCAGTCTCCGCGGTGAGTCTTTCCACATGTGGGGCAAGGTGGTATAGGTTGCTGTTGTCGCTGACGGTTCCTGCGGTCATCTTGGCCTCCCCTGTTCTTCCTCTTGTTCTTCTATCGTTGTTGTGGGGCGGCTGCGGGTTGAACTTGTGGTGTTGGTGATGATAGAGTGGAAGGAATCGGCTGAAGACGATCACGGTTGACTTCCCTTCGTATGCTGGCATCAACTTCTGCTGCAATGGTGACAGTACGGGCATAGGACTGGACTCCATGGCCCACGATGTTGTGACGGACTACTGGGATAAGCCCGTCGATAAAACGTCTCATCCTTGTTGCTTCTGTGGTCATCAAGTCAGGTACAAAAGCTCCAAGTCGAGTGAATTCTCTTTCATACTCGTCCACTGTCCGAGTATCTTGTTTAAGCGCCAAAAATTGACGCTCCATTTCAGCTTTATAGTAAGGGGGATAATACTTATCGCGAATTAACTCCTTGAACATGTCCCACGTGCAGTTTTCTTTTTCTCCAGGACGCATACCCCAGTAGGCGTGCCACCAAAGCCGTGCATCACCGGTTAATTGGATTTGTGCGCATAACACGCGATAACGCTCAGGACAGTCCATGACCTCAAAAATCGTCTCAAGGCCCTGGACCCATTCGTCGACAATGCGGGGATCTCCCTGACCGGAAAACTTCTCCGGATGATAGTCACGAAACTGTGCGACTACCTCGGATTGTGAAGGTTCACGATGAGCCGAACTTCTATGAGTCGACATCTGAATGTTGAAAGAGTTTGACATGATTAAGTACATTATCTGATTTATGGGACATACAAATTTCTTGACGAGTTGTCAACTCTATTATGAATATTTTAGGCTGTAAACTTTGAACATGATTCGAGCACCTTAACTAGTCCATAACAGTGATTTCCATAATATAACTGAGCATAGGCATAGTAAATTGTTTATAATTTAAAGCATGTATCAGCACTTACCTGATAGCCGGTGGAGTGTGAACTTGGTGTGATCGAATATTTGAAAATTAAATTTTGACTTTTAAAACCATTCAGAGACGCAGAACCGTGCTCTGATACCACCTGTAACGCCCCGCACTAACTTAATTATCAGAGTGCGTATACAAGACATATTTTAAAATAGTTTGAGAAAATGATTCGGAGCGTTACTAAAACATTTATTTTATCTTTAAAAATCTGTTATGATCGTTTAAAATTTACAACAAAAACGGATTTACATAATAAACAATCCAACTATGAAATCGGATCAAAAGTCAAAGTTTGTCAAACAGTAAGTTCAGCGGAATATAGCGTGGTAAAATATACAACAAAATATTTAACTTCGATCCACCCGTCAACTTCACAGCTCCGGACCGACTTCATGACCTGAAAAATTTTGATAAAATGGGGTGTGAGTACCACTGTACTCCGTAGGAACTCATACTAAAGTAAACAACAATAATAATAGTAACATCATGATCAAAAGCATATAACATAACCGTGAATTTCCTGGTCAACAGTATAAACCGGACCGGGATCCGTGAATCTACCGGCTGTCACGATGATAATGTTAATGATAATGATGATGACAATAATAAGCCAGAATCCATGTGCACATACTAGTGGTAGATGATGCCACTAGAACTTAGAACGGAATTATGGCAACCTGAACCGGCCAACATCCATTCCAAGCGGAAAACATGATTGACATACCTTGAACATGATATCGTAATTATAATCAATGTAATACCCAGTCTGAGTCCCCAGGAACACTTTAAGGGTTCATAAAATAGTTCTAAGTCTGGAAATTACACTGATATGCTTAACTGATCTGGTTTGGCTCGGAAAATAATGTGAATTTCACAATAAGACTCGGACTGAAAATTACGAACTAAAACAGACTCGAACCGCCGGCTAAACCGGCCGGTTCGCTAACTGAATAATCCGGGTCGGCCTGGACCGGATCGGGTTGGACCACCAGTTCACACTGGACCGGGTGGTCACGGGCTGGCTAGGCTCGGTCCCGTGCCGGGCCTGCTGGGACCATGGCACGGCACTGGACACGGGCTAGGTATGACCGGCCTCGGCACTAGGCGCTGCTGGGCGCGGGCAGTGCGGCTGGCACTGGCCCTGGCACTGGCCGAGCGCGAGGGACACGGGGTAGACATGTACCCGGGCTGACTGGGCACTGGGCGTGCAGCTGGCACGACCCGAGTGCGACTGGCGCGAGGACTAACGCGGCCAGACATAATTCGCGCGTCTCGGGTGCGACTAAGGCTTGTCAGGGCGCTGCCGGGCGACCCTGGGCACGCGGGCGTGCTGCTGGACACGTCCCGGGCCAACTGACTGCTCGGGCGTGCTATTTGGCACGTCCCGAGGCCCCTGAACCTTACTCGGGTTCATTAAGGCACGGTATTACATACTCGGGTGCGTTGTTGGCACGACCCGAGGTCACTGCGCGTGGCACAGGCGACTGGCGCGGGTTCGCGCATACGTGACCCTGGGACAGCACTGCCGGCGTGGCCGCTGCGTGTGGCACATGTCCGTGACCGGCCCTTGCCGGCCGTGCGGCCACTTTCCTTGATCAAAATGACATAAATTGACATGATTAACACATTTACATGTACATGGGTCTGAGGGTCATGATAAAACATGAAAATGGATGTGATTGGCCACGGCGTGCGCGATAGGCGCGTCCGACGGCCCTTAACGTGTACCCTCGACCAAACATGAAATTTTCTCGTGCAACATGAGTTACTGGACCATAATTTATCATTTAAAGGCTGTTGGAACATAAATGTCCCTAACAAAGTTGATCACAATGAAAGATACCCTAGTAGGGTGAGACACAGCCCGTGGGCGCGTGCTACGTGCACGGTCCACTTCCCTTGGCCATTTCATCAACCAAATGAATACTTATCTCGGGCTATCTTTTAAAACTGAACATAATACATTAAATAAGGACTAATGATGCATGGTTTTCTCGAGAGAAGTTGGCTATATAAAGAGATGTTATAATATGGCCTAAAATGCACACCCGAGAGCATTTTCGAAGAATACATGAACTTAGACCCATAATTTGAACTTGGTATGGTACAAGTAACATCATAACAGGGTTAGAATCATATTACCCTTTGATTGCCCGAAGAAAGTTGGCAAGAAATTGGTGTTGGTTCGGACCCTTTCTCTTCTTCGCGCGCGTACGGTGAGTTTGGATTAAAATATCTTAATCTTGTTTATTGTTTTCTTAAGGTATGTTTATGAAATAGCTTAGCTTATATGCTAAAATATGTCCCAACGTTGGCATTTATAAGCGGTGAAATTGGATGAAAATGTGAAGTAATATGCTCGGCCAATGAGCTCGTGACATTTGCCGCGTCCCTAGGACACGAGGTGTCCTTTTTCTAGCTTAGTCACCAACACTTGGCTTGAAGTAGTTACATGGTACAATTAGGATGATATTCACGTGACTTGCTCCAATCTTTTGTCCACTTGAGCTAATTAAATACTTAAAAGCACGCTTAGGGCTCGATTATGCGTGATTACCCTAGATTAAGGCGTTTAGGGAGAAATGCACCCTAGCTGTGCAATGACCAATGTTTAAGGTTATATGATGATTAAATGAGCACTTAACCTTAAATGAACATAATTAAGGTACATAAGTACGATTATGCATATGATTACGCACGATTAGCGCGAGATTAGCACATTTACCGCTCGATTAAGTACAATTTGATTCGATAATATTTTTATCGGGCGATTGAACATAAATTGATTTATACTTCGAATATTTAATGATTTCGAGAATATTATGAACATTATGAAATTAAGTACGTAATTTACATTAGGGAAAAATGGGCTATTACAGTGTGTTTCGACTATAAATTCAATTCCTTTCCATGGAAATCGGAGCGCAGTCCGTGGTCACCAGAATCCTTCAGAGACAGTGTAGTCGGCGGTGATGTGGGCAAAGTCATGGTGGAGGTCGGACGAGGATGCGAGGAAGAGCCGGTGGAGGTCGGGCGGCCAATTTGTTTCTGTAGATCTTCACGGAGGGTGGGTGTCTGGTGGAGGACCGGTGGTGGACGGGCGGACTCTGGTGGCAGGAAGGCGTCTGGTGGCGGATGGCGGATCGGCGATCGATCTTTTACCGGCGATGAGTGAAGGAGACGCAACCACAGTGCGTTGGTGTGTGATGTGTGTGTGTGAGAGAGAGAAAACGTGGGGTGGGGGTGTTCTCCTTAACAACCGATGTGGGATATTACAATCCACCCCCCTTGGGGGCCCTGCGTCCTCGCTGGTACACCAGTCCGGATACTGGCTCTGATACCATCTGTAACAGCCCAGCTCACCCGTTGTAGAATATTGTCCGCTTTGGGCCCGCTTACCCGCACGGTTTTGCCTTTGGGAGCTAGCTCACCAAAACGCGTCCTACAAGTTAAGGTATCCACACCCTCTTATAAGGCATGTTTCGTTCTCCTTAACAACCGATGTGGGATATTACACACTCTCTCTCTCCCTCTCTCTCTCTCTCTCTCTCTTTCTCTCTCTCTCTCTCTCTCTCTCACACACACACACACACACACATGCACACACACACAAACACACTCACAGGCACACACAGAACCGATACACACACACACATTAAATACATGCACACACTATACAGGAACTCCGTCGCCGGCCATCGTCCGAGAATGGAAGCCCGACCACCGCCATGAAATCTGCCGCCGCCCGTCGTTCACTGCTCCTTTCCGACGCCGTCTCCACCACCGGTGCCGCCGACCAAGGCTATCCATTGCCAGCTTCCAGATTCTCCGGTGGTCGCTAATTCAGCTCCATCGGTGCTTCTGCCGGCGACAACGTTAGTGGCAACGACGAGCTAGTTACTGCGACTGGATGTAGGTGGCGGACGATAGAGACTAAGCAAGGTGAGATGGTAGCGAGGCGAAGCTGTGGTGGATTGGCTGACGGAGTCGCCGAACGGAGTCGGCAACAGGCCGGTCGACGGCGGCGACATGACAGAAAGAGCTTGATGCGGTGGCGTGAACTGCCGGCTGGCGGTGGTTGCGTGTGACTGTGTGTGTGTGTGTTTTTTTCGATTTATATATATATATATATATATATTTATATGTATTTGCATATTTCAGTTTTTATTCGCTTGTTTTGTTTTAGTGAATTAGATAAATTTCGGGGACCTATTTGCAATTTTAGAAATTTGAGTGTTTTTCAATTTATACCATGTGTCAAATATGTAATTAATAAAAAATATATAAAAAATTGTTATCTCTTATATATTTTTTTAATACCTATGTTTATTAGGCATTTTGAATAAAAAAGAAATGATATGAATATTAAATAACCATATTAGCATGTTTAAATACTTGGGGGTTAATTTTGAGTATGGGTTATGTATTGGGGCTCATTGTAAATTTAATAATTTATTTATATTTCAATTTAATTCATAGGTCAAATTTGTAATTTCCAAAAATGATATAAATATGCTATTTTTATATATCTCATAAATACTTTAAATAATAAATAAAAATATTAAAAAAAATAATATAAAATGTTATTGGATATATTGCACATTATTGACTGACTGTTGCACTTTTGTGTCAATAAGATTGCACTTTAGCATAACAAATGCACTATAATGTTTATTAAATTAATAATATAAAATATTAAAAATAAAAATTATAAATACTAAATGTATTTTTATTACTCAAATAATTTAATAAATGTAAAATATTTTTTATTAAAATACACTAATAATTTTTACATTTTTACAATTGAAACACACTTTAGTGTTTGGTTTCAATTTGGTTGGGACGAAACTTCGATCATTTCACACTTTACAGTAGCGGCTAATAATCCATGCACATTAATGATTGTAACGTTGCACTATTGTGTCTGTGATATTGCGTTTAGCGCATGTAACGTTGCACTTTTGTGTCTATGATTTTTAAATTTTGATTATTTCGTTAGATGTCGACTTTATTTTTTTTTAAAACAACTGAACTGACCGAGCTTAAACTTGGGATGCCGGAAAGTTTTATAATAGTTATTATTAGTCGTATACTCGTATTGCACATTACTGAAGGCCGAATTGCACATTAATGTTAGGCGGATTGCACTTTAATAACTGTCAGATTGCACTATACCCCGATCGAACCCGACCGACTTTTTTTTTTTTTTTATCGAATTTTATGTCGGTTGGATTATATGTGTTTACTTTTAAAGTTTTGGTATAATGAAAAAAAATCATACAGACCAAACTAAACAAATAAATAGTATTTGTCATATTTTATATAGAATATAATTTTTTCAATAAAAAAATACAAAATGTTAAATGAAAATATTTATGTGCAATTTATTTATCGTTAGCGTGGAATTTACGTAACATTCATGTGAAATTATTAAAAAAAAATAAATTGTAAAATCAACTCATGAATTGAATTGTAACATATTGAAGTTTATAAAATTGCAATTAAGCCCCTTAAGCATATCAAATTTTCATAAAAAA